ACATGGACCTATCCTGATGCAGCCCTGGGTGCTGCAGCAGCTGTGTGGAGACCCCTGCTAGTGCTGAGATGCTTGTTCGTTCACTGACTCAGCTTTCCTCCTGCAGTCGGCATCATTGCCTCAGTTTTGTGAGGTGGAGGACTTTGTGGACTGGTGTTGGGTTAATGGATTAATGTAGGACTTGTGGGCTTGGGTAGCATTGGGTTGGGATGTTTTCGTGATGCACATTTTCTTTACATAAATCTCTCTCTTATACATGAGTCGCTGTGGATTTGTTTCTCCAAAGTACCTAGACTAATACAACAACAGAATCACACTTTCCAAAAACAAGGAAAGACTCTTGAAAGCAACTTTGGGGGGAAATTAGCTATGAAGGAGAGTCAGTGAGACTAAGCGCTGACTTCTCTGTGGAAAGCATGTAGAGAAGAGGGCATGAGGGCGGCATGCACAGCACTCTGAAAGAGAAAACACATCTGCCAACCAAAGATTATATACCCAGAGAAACGGTCCCCCAAATACAACAGCAAAGACCTCTCCAGATAAACAGGTATTAAGGAATTTGTAAAAATCCAGAACAACCTTATAAGAAATACTAAAGAAATTTCTTCAGGCACAGGATGAACGATGGCAGACAGCAACCTGAAACTGGCCTATGTGATAACATCAGAAGTCAACCCAGATAGAGAAGTATCAAAAGTGACAATAGAGCTACACGATGGAAGCAGAGCTATCACCTTGTAAAATAAGACAATTACACAGTGAAAACGGGGAATAAATAGTGTAGCTACAGAACTCCCCAAAGGAGGGGAAATCAAGATGATTTCAACAGAGAGCAGTTTTAAACTTGGGAAGAAAGTAATAAATTACAGAGTAAGCTCAAAATGAATAAGCCCCACCAAAGCCAAAGAAATAAGCCATCATTCGAGCAACCACCTGAACAACAGAAATGAAGGAAAGAATGAGAAAACCCAAAATGAAATGAACTCAGCACAGAAAATTGTGTGGAAACTAGAAACCAGCGTCATCACAAGAACCAAACAAAATAAACGGCAAAATGACAGCAGTGAACTCATGTATATTGAACATTGTACCAACCATGCGTGGATAAAATGCACTGGTCAAGATGCAGAGATAGAAACTTTCATCATGCCAATGGCAATCCAAAAGGGGCAGGAATGGCAATATTACTTTCAGATCAACTGGAAGTTAAGGCAAACACCAGCATAAGAGAAAAGGCGGGTCAGCAAGTAATGGGTCCATTCAAATACATCAGTTCTTCCTAGAACTCTTCAATGTCCGATTTTCACATGCATCTGAAGTGACTGAAAATTCCAGGCACACCTTAGTCCTCAAAGTGGCATCCGTGTTCTTCAACCTTTCAAAGAGGTCTGGGGAGGTGCATCTAACCAAGGCAATGCATCGTTTGATTTCTTGACTGCTGCTTCCATGAGCATTGATTGTGGATCCAGGCAAAAATGAAATCTTTGACAGCTTCAACCTTTTCTCCATTAATCATGAAAATACCTATTGGTCCAGTTGTGAGGATTTGGGTTTTCTTTACATTGAGTTGTAGCTCATACTTAAGGTCGCAGTCCTGAATCTTCAACAGCAAGTGTTTCAAACCAAAACTCACTGCCGTTGAGTCAATACTGATGACTAGTGACCCAAGTGTTTCAAGCCCTCCTCAATTTTAGCAAACAAGGTTGTGCCGTCTAATATCACAGGTTATTAATAAGCCTACCTCCATGCCTGATGCCTTGCTTTTCTTCCCGTAGTCCAGCTTCTCAGTTTATTGCTCAACATACAGATGGTATAAGTATGGTAAAGGGATACAATCCTGATGCACACCTTTCCTGACTTTAAAAACGAACCCAAACTCACTATCGAGTCCATGCCAAATCATAGCAACCCTTAGGACAGGGCAGAACTGCCCCTGTGAGTTTGTGAAACTGTAACTCTTTATGGAAGTAGAAAGCCCCATCTTTCTACAGCCCCATGGAGCTGTCGGTGGTTTCGAACTGCTGACTTCGAAATGAGCAGCTCAACTGGTAACCACTACCAGCAGGGGTCCTTCTCCTGATTACAGACCACCCAGTATTTCCTTGTTCTGTTCAAAGGCCTGCCTCTTGTCCCGTGTCGGTTGTGCATGATCACAATGAAGTGGTCCGGAACGATCAGTCTTCTCAATGTTAATCATAATTTGCCTTCATCCGCAAGTCAAATGCCTTTGCATAAATATCGGGTTTTCTCTGCTTTCAGCCAAGATCCATCTGAAGTCAGGGATGCTGAATACTCTCTCTGGCAGCTCCCTGTAGATGTACAAAGTCTTACTTGTGTGGGATATGAATGAGATGGTTCGATAGTTTTCACATTGTGTTAGGTCACCTTTGGAATGAGTATAAATATGGCTCTCCTCCGGGTGGTTTTTTTGGAGGGGGCGAGGCGGGGGAGGCAGGTAGCTATCTTCCAAATTCCTTAGCGTACACTAGTGAGTGCTTTCAGTGCGTCCTCAATTTGCTGAAGCATTTCCATTGGAATGCCATCTGCTGCTTTCAGGGCATATTTGACTTCTTCCTTCAATACTGTGACTGCACCTCGATTATATGCTAATTTTTGGAATGGCTCCGTGTCCACCGATTCATTTTGGTACAATGACCCTGTATTTCTTCCATCTTCTTTTTATACTTTTTTTGTCATTCGGTATTTGGGCTACAGAATTATTCAAGAATGCAGCTCCTGGCTTGCGTTTTGTCCATCCATCTTTTTGCTGAGATATGCTGAGATCGGCTCTTCTCTTTGGGCTGTCTAACTCCAGGGCTGCACACATGTCAGTATGATCCTCTCCCTTGTCTTCTCAATCTGCCCTTGGAATGTTCTGTTCGGCTCTTTCACGTCCTCATTTAGACCATCAATTAGACGGTGCAAAAGTTGCAGCCCATGTAAAAGGCTGACAAGTTGCCATGACTCCCCCCTTCCACATCCTCATATCCACACACCTGTCAAATGCTACGCAGAAAATTTTCTCAGGGGACTACTTAGTACTTCCCAATCCCCCCTCTTTTCCAGTCATTTAAAAAATCAATACATAATTCCCATTTCTTGCAATTCAGCCTCTCAAGACGTACAATTCAGTGCCATGAACCAAAAAACAAACAAGGAAGCTCACTGCCAGCAAGTCCATGCTAGCTCTACAGTGACCCAATAGGACAGGGCAGGCTGTCCTATGAGTTTCCTAGACTGTGACTCTTTGCAGGAGTAGATAGCCCCATCTTTCTCCCACGGAGCGGCTGGTGGTTCCAAACTTCTGACCTTTAGAATCACAGACCATACCACTGCACCACCTGTATGTCAATCCTGAACATTTTCACCTCTCCCAAAAGAAGCCCAATACCCATTCGCAGTCACTCTTCCCCCCAGCATGCCTCCAGCATGTGGAAACACCTGTCTAGGTGCTTTCTCGATAGAGGTGTTCCTGGTGTTTCAAATGCATCGAACTATCTAAAATGCATGTCTGGTTTCACACGTTTTCAGAGTTTATGTAATAGCATTTTTCAGAACTCCGTCTCTTTTCAGAGTTGAATGATACTCTGCTGTATAGAGGCTCCATATTTTATTTGTCTATTTGCCTATTAATCACACTTGAGTTTTCAAAGAATGGGAATGAGAGAAAGAAATGGGGGGGGGGCAGGTTTGTCTGAGCACTGAAATCAGACATGAAGTTACCAAATCAGACAAGAAGACAGCCGGGGAGGAGCGCGTGTGCAGGGGGAAACTGAGGACGCGGCGGTTGGTGGGATCCAGTCTGCAGCATCTAGTGCAGATGCCAAGGGGACTGTTGGGTATGAGATTTTAGAACCCGGAGCCATGTTCAAGGGAGGGATGCAACATTGCGAGCCATCAACATAAAGAGAATAAATGAAGTAAACAAGAAAGTGACTTAGAAGGGAAAGGACAGATAAGAGAAAGAAAAAGCAAGCAATGAGTCCCGAGTCTCTGACATGTAGAAATGAAAGAAACCTCCGTTTTAAACGTTTTATTGGCAATCAATTCACCTATCATACAACTGCTCATCGTTATGAGCACCCCATTTCCCCCAACCTCCCCTGCCTGCGCCCAGTTGCTGTCTCTATAGATGTACTCATCCCGGATGTCACATACAGAAAAACATTTAAAACGTTAAAAAATAAAGTAACGAGCCAGTCAGGGTGCAGTGTAGCAACGATGAAAATTACAACTTTCCTCTAGTTCCTAAATGCTTCCTCCTCCCCCACTATCATGATCCCAATGCTACCTTACAAGTCTGGCTAGACCAGAGGATGTACACTGGTACAGATAGGAACCGGAAACACAGGGAATCCAGGGCGGATGATCCCTTCAGGTCCAGTGATGTTTACAAGGATCTACATGTGACCTCCTCCCTGGGGAATGGGCAACAGAAAAGTGGGTGAAGGGAGACATCGGATAGGGCAAGAGGTGGCAAAATAATAATTTATAAGTTATCCAGGGTTCATGATGGAGGGTGGAGTGGGGAGGGAGGGGAAAAAAATGAGGAACTGATGCCAGGGGCTTAGGTGGGGAGCAAATGTTTTGAGAATGATGAGGGCAACGAATGTACAAATGTGCTTTACACAATGGATGTATGTATGGGTTATGATAAGAGTTGTATGAGCCCCTAATAAAACGATTCAAAAAATTAAGATAAAATAACAACAATAACAAAGTCACACAGATTTAAAACCTCAATGGAACAGAAAGCAGAAACCCAGCGGGGCGCAGCCTCCCTGGCGGAAAGGGGCCCTCGCGCGTGTGTGTGCGCGCGGGGCCTCGCGCGCTCTTCTTTGGTCCGTGGCGTCGTCGAAAGCTCCGTTAAGCGGCAGCCCCTCCACCCCGCCACCCCTCCCGCCCCCCACTTTGAAAGCTTCACCACGGGGCGCCCAGGGAGGCTTCGCGTTGAAGCACCAGGAGGCTACCTACCACCTGTGCACCGTGAGAAGCCCGCTGAGGATGGCTTCTCTGAGCTCCGGGAAGCCCGGGGACCGGGGAATCTGAGATGCGGCCCCGGACTGCTGCTTGGCGGTGGATTCCGCCCGTTCTGTTGGGCTGGGGAGCTTTGCTGTGTTACTTAGGGGGTCACTTGGTACTAGATAACGACCACCCGGATCCCGCCAGCCGAGAGCTGCCCGAGATTCTGGCGGAGCTTGAACACTTGCAACAGCGTCATGAAGACGTGAGGCGAAAGGCTGCGTCTCTGGGGGTCCCCGAAGGCCCCCTTGATGGGGGGCCAGCTGCGGGGAGGGTGAGCGCGTTAGAAGCACAGCTTGCGAAGGCCAAGGAACAGATCGAAAGTTACACGAAACCAACCAGAAGCGGTCTTGGGAAAGACCACGAAGTCCTGCGGAGGAGGATCGAACAGGGAACGAAAGAGCTCTGGTTTTTCCTGCAGAGTGGATTGCAGACAGTAAGGGATTTAGAAGGAAATGACCGCCGGAGGCGGGCTGATGAGTTTCTGTCAGACTTGGGCCACCGGGAAAGGTCCATCATGACGGATCTCTACCACCTCAGTCAAACGGAGGGAGCAGGTGACTGGCGAGAAAGAGAGGCCAAGGATCTCACAGAGCTGGTCCAGAGGAGAATGGCCTATCTCCAGAATCCCAAGAACTGCAGCATCGCAAAGAAGCTGGTGTGTAACGTGAACAAGGACTGTGGCTACGGCTGCCAGCTCCACCACGTGGCCTACTGCTTCATGATCGCGTATGGTACCCAGAGGACCCTCATCCTGGAATCTCAGAATTGGGCCTACGCGACCGGTAGATGGGAGACCGTGTTTAGACCTGTAAGCGAGACCTGCACGGATCGATCCGGCACCTCCACTGGACTTTGGTCCGGCGAAGTGAAGGACAGAGATGTGCAGGTCGTCGAGCTGCCCATCGTGGACAGGCTTGCTCCCCGTCCTCCGTATCTACCCCTGGCCGTCCCGGAAGACCTGGCAGAGCGCCTCATTCGCGTCCACGGGGACCCTGCAGTGTGGTGGGTGGCCCAGTTTGTCAAATACTTGATCCGCCCCCAACCTTGGCTGGAAAAGGAAATAGAGGTGGCCACCGAGAAGCTCGGTTTCAAGCATCCGGTGGTCGGCGTCCACGTCCGACGCACAGACAAAGTGGGAGCAGAAGCAGGCTTCCATCAAATTGAGGAGTACATGGTGCACGTGGAAGGACATTTTCAGCTTCTGGCGTGCAGGATGCAAGTGGACACAAAGAGAGTGTACTTGGCCACAGACGACCCTTTTTTATTAAAGGAGGCACAAACAAAGTACCCTGATTATGAATTTATTAGTAATAACTCCATCTCCTGGGCAGCTGGACCACACAGTCGATACTCAGAACAGTCCCTGCGGGGGGTGATCCTGGATGTGCACTTTCTCTCCCAGGCTGACTTCCTCGTGTGCACCTTCTCATCCCAGGTCTGTCGAGCTGCTTACGAGATCATGCAAACGCTGCATCCCGACGCCTCGGCGAATTTCCACTCTTTGGACGACATCTACTATTTTGGGGGCCAGGATGCCCACAACCAGGTTGCCCTCTATCCTCACCGTCCTCGAACCACAGGTGAAATCCCCATGGAGCCGGGAGACATTATCAGTGTGGCTGGAAACCACTGGGATGGCTATTCCAAAGGCGTCAACAGAAAGCTGAGAAGGATGGGCCTCTATCCCTCCTACAAAGTTCGGGAGAAGATCGAAACAGCCAAGTACCCCACCTATCCCGAGGCCGAGAAATGGGAAAACGGACCGCCAAACCCAGTTCAAACCACTTGAGCCAAACAGTAGCCCAAGAAGGCGCCGACCTAACCCGGGTACGGTTAAGTGAGACACACATCGGCACAGAGGAAGGTGCTCAGCAGCAGTAGCAACTGAGAACAGGCTGGTGCCTCCTTGTGGAACTGTCCTTTAACCGGGGTTGCTAGGCGCTCAAAGCCAGGCCAGTCCAAAAGCACCCGCACAGATAGCATGCCGACAGGTTGTTTTCTGGGCTCCCCTTTCCTTCAACGGAATGTACCCATGAAACAAACGCTATTTAAGTGACACAGACAATTTTGTGTGAGACTTCAAACATCTGAGATGCCTGTCACCCAAGGAGAAGACCCAAATGGATCCCTGCTCTCCGGAGAGTTGATCCTTAACCAACGGTCATGACGTGACTGCCAAGTTCACTCCAATCAACAGATTCAGAATGAGAACAGCAATTCTTGTTTCCTTTATGAGGTTGTCTGAATTTCTGATTTTCAAGTAATTGTGTTGGTTCACCCAAACCTCATTGTTAATAAGTGATGCCTAAAATAGTCACACTCCACTGGGAACTTCTGTAAAACAATGTCATGGACTTGGTACTACATGTTTCTGGGCATTCTCTTTGATAACACAAAATAAATTTTAAAAATCAGAATGTATCAAAAACAAGTTTAAATGGATTATAAGGGAGATCAAATGATGGGGTGCTAAATTTTAACCTCACTCCATCTTCCACAATCCACTTTCCAATGTATTCTGCATGATAGCAAGGCTATTCCCATCCCTGGTCCCCCCTGGTCAAAGGGGATTCACCAAGGGCTTAAGGAAATCTCCAGTTTACATCACAGTTGTAGCCATCAACTTAAAGGGTACTTCAATCCTCAATCTCCTCCCACATCTCAGGCACCTCCTCTGCCCTCTGTTCCTACCAAGCCTCCTCCTCCTTGACTTTTCTGATCCCTCAGCCACTTCCGTTGTTTCCCTAAGTACCCCAAGTACCTAAAATCCAAAAACCTCACCCTTCCTTGAACCGGGAGCTCCCTCTATCCTTTCTTCAACGCCCTACCCGCTCACCTCTTCCTTCAAGTCTCTTATTTGTAAGGCATTACCTGAGGTGATAGCAGGTGCACCTTCCTCCTCATTTCCCAGACCAGGAGGGCTGATAGGTCTGTCCATGTCGTAGTGTCAGAGCTTGTATGCCCGGTGCCGGCTTCACGCTCCATATTTCTACCTTGGTGATTATAAGCTCTGAGTGCGTGCGTCAGGAGGTGAAACGCAAGGCTTGTACAATCACTTTAAAGAACGGCATCGGAAAAAAGGGTCACCTTCTTGCAGGCTCCCTGCCTTCGGGGTTCCTTTCACCCTCTGTCAGTCCCTCCTTTCTGGAAATGCTTCCTTCGTGGGTAGAGACCCAGGCCCGTGCTCACCTGGAAGCCAACAGAGGAAAGGGATGAGGAGCAGCAGGTGCATTTGCTCTTGGCTCCGCTCTCCTGCGCTGGGGCCGGTCAGCAAGAACTCCTTCATCTTCCCCTCTGTCCTGCGCTCGCTCGCTCTCACTCATGGGCTTCCTCTGGAGGTCACTTATCGCTGGTGAGCTCAACTAAAGAGGAAGGAGGTGGAACTGGTGACATCAAGGCTGTGAGTGATGCAAGAAGTCAAGGTGATTGTGATCTTTTGAGAGAGAGAGAGAGAGAGAGAGAGAGAACTATGCAGTCTCTCCTCTGGGTGTCTGCAGACACCGACCCCTGGATAGTTTTTGCCTGATCTTCCCCTGGTAGGAAGGCCCTGGTCCTGGGACCCAGCTCCCCCAGAGGGGATTTTGAGGAGTCAAGGCCCTGGAACTTCCAGTGTAGCCAGATTCTCAAGAGCCTAGTTCGTCAGCAACTCCATGGGATCATGGGAGACGTGAGGACACCAGAGGATACATTCTGTACCAGGAATTGGAAAGAGGGAGGGAGAAGCCTAAGACGGTGTCAAAATCTAGACTACAAAGAAAAGAACTTCAGGAGGAGTGTGGTGCAAGCCAAGAACGATGGGTCCAATGGACAAGAGTGGCACATCTCCAGGGAACATACAGAAATGGTCTCTAGATGGGAGACAAGTGTTGGCTTGGGGAAGGGGAAGCTACTTAATTTTATTAAAAACAAAAACTAAGAGGGCTCACCCTGAAGAAACTAGCTCACTTTCATGACCATTGCCCTGCCATCCAGACCCCATCCTTGTAATAAAATATTTGTTGACATAAGAAAGAGAATAACACCTTTCCCTGTCTTGTTTCCATCTTTCTGTTGCCCACACCCCTCTCTCCCTGCCCCCATCAAGGTCCCAGCAACCCCTAGGGATCAGGCTCTGAGGCTTCGAAAGGCTTCAGGCTTTGTTACATGTTGCACCTAGAACGGTGTTGACTCTGTGTAACACATTGTCTCAGACATCTTGAGGAGTCTGTGAGCCCCAAGAGGGCACACATCTCCCTTCACGTTCTAATCACATTCTAGTTGGTGTGCAGGAGGATTATTTGCCTAGAAAAACAGAGCTTGATAAAATGGTGGTGTTGCAGAACGGTGGCTGAGACACATTGTCCCTTTGCACGTGTGTAGCCATAGAATGAGCTAAGTGATGGGAGAGGGTTTGTTCCCCACTCTGGTTGGACAGTGACACTGAGAAATGCTGTCCTCTGCCAACGGGATGCTCTAACTCCCAGGGGGAAAGGGCAGGGTCACCCAGAGGACTAACAGCCCTGGAGGAGAGCGGGCAATTGCTTTGAGAGCTATGGGAAAACCCTGTCTCCTGGGGGGTGGACGGCAAGGAGGGCACAGCCTTTGACTTTCTAGAAGCCCTGCCTGTGGACCAGTCCTCTGACCATAGGCCCAACCAGGAAGGTTCCTCTTTGAATCAAAAGTAAGTATTTACCCAAAGGGCTCAGGGCGATGACAAGTGTTTTGCAAATACTTTCCCTCCATCCTTCCCTTTTGATGTTGTGTCTGAGCATTTTCTTTTGATCTTGTTTCTGGGGTGTGTGTGTGTGTGTATTTTTTTCCTGGTAACTTTTGTCAGAATATTCTTACTTAATATTTCCTTTTTAAGCAATAGAGCTACTTATCTTTCTTTACCACATATAAACGTCCAGCTATTGTAAGAAGATCATTCTGAGTCACGTTTGGGGTTGTCAGGTGGTATCAGAGCAGTTCCCAATCATAGCGACCTTTTGCACAACAGAACAAAATGCTGCCCGGCTCTGCAACATCCTCACAATCGCCACATCCTCATGACTGCTCGGCCCATTGCCGGGGCCACTCATTACCACCCTGTGTCCGTCCATTTTGTTGAATATCTTCCTCTTTACCGCTAACCAAGTATAATGTCCTTCTCCAGAGACGGGCTCCTCCTGATAACATTTCCAAAGTAAACAAGACAACATCTCACTGTTCTTGATTCTAAAGGGCATGTAGCACGAACAGATTTTCCAAGACAGATTTTTGTTCATTTTTCTGGCGTTTCATGGTTTAGTCAGTATTTGTCAACACCATATTTCAAAGGCATTAATTCCTCAGTCTTCCTTATTCATTGTCTCGTGTTTTCATACACGTGAGGCGATTGAAAATGCCATGATTGGGGTTTGCTAACACTTCAAAGGGATCATTTGCAGCTTATTTGCCCAAAGGAAGATGCCCTTTGATTTCTTGACTGCTGTTTCCTATGGGCATTGATTGTAGATCCAAGTAAAATCTAATCCTTGACATCATCAATATTTTCTTCACTTATCTTGATATTGTAGTTAGGGATTCTGCCAACTAGACACTCCAGGGTAGGGGTGGAATCAAACCTGTCAATCAGGCCATAGCCTAATGACACCTCCATGGTGTCATAAGCCTTTTGGTATAATAGTGGGAGGCATACACATGCCCCAAAAGAGGGAGAGACCCTGGGGATGGTTCTCTCTCTGCCACGTTCCACCAACTGTGGATCCATGTGACTCTGCACCCACCGGTCTGTGGTCTTCCTGCTTCCTGGTCCAGCTTTCTGCATCTCTAGCCTGTGACTGCATGAGTCGGAAGAGGCGCTTACCAACTAGCATCGGTCTTAAGGACCTGAGTTGGACTGGGCTGGGATGCCTTCTTGTTATACAGTTAATTCTTCATCTAAAGCTCTTTCTTATACATATGACTGTCCCTGGATTTGTTCCTTTAGACAACCTGACCTAACACGCTTGTTGATTCAGTTGTAAGGATTTTTGTTTCTTCGTGTTGAGGTGCAATCCATTCCGAAGGTTGCAGTCTTTTGTCTTCATCAGTGTGGTAGTTACATCATCTGGTGTCAATTGGAGAGGATTACGAGTGAAGGGGTGGGTCTAGTCTGTCAATTGGATCATAGCCAATGAGGTCTCTGTGTGGCCAGGGTCTTCTCTTGAGAATTCTGGGAAATCTGGTATTCCTTCTTGGAGGCGGAAGACACTATCTCTCTTGGTTCACTCCTTTGGAGACTCTACTGACAAGGCTGACTCCCTGCAAGACACCCGTGAGGAGAAGCCACGTGAACTTACCCCAATGCAGCCCTGGGTGCTGGAGAAGCCACGTGGAGACCCCTGCCAGCACTGAGATGCTTACAACACCACTGGATCCAAAGACTTTCTACCCACTGACCTGTGATCGTCCTGCATCACTGCATGTATTTCATGAGTCTGAAGAGGAATTTATAGATTGATATTGGACATATGGGCTAATATCAGACTTATGGGCTTGGACTGGACTGGGTTGAGCTGCTTTCTTAATGTAAAATTACCCTTTATATAAAACTCTCTCTTATATACATAGGAGATTTTATGGATTTGTTTCTCTGGTCTACCCAGACTAACACAATCAATAAGTGCTTTATGTCTTCTTCACTTTCGGCAAGTAACGGTGTTTCCTCTACATACTGAAGGTTGTTAATGAGTCTTCCTCCCACCTGATGCCACATTCTTCTTTATATAATCCAACTTCTTGGATAAATTTGCTCAGCATAATATCTTCTTGCAGCTAAAATGACTTTCTATTAAACTTTATTGCTGTCCAAGTGATTCCAACTCTTGGAAACCTCACCTGGGCAGAGGAGAGCAACTCACTATTTCCAAGAAGGAAATCACTAGGCTGATCTTCCAAGAAACTTCTGGGCAGGGCGGTGGGAGTGGGAGTGTCAAATCACCAGTCAATAATGAGCAGCCATTTCACCCCAGTATTAATATCCAAGCTCATTTTTTTTTAAAGATTTTTTTTTAACAAACAGAAAAGAACATGCACTGGGGAGGTTGTAGAGAGATTGGAGGACTGCAAACCTGGTGCAACTACTGTGTAAAGTTTTCCCTCAAACAATTGCGAGTTAAAATAGCATATGACCAAGCAACCCCTCTACTTAGTATATACCCTCATGGAATAAATAACATAGCATGAGCAGGTATGTGCACACACATGCTTATCACAGCACTGGAAGAATGGATAAACTTTGACATGAACACACGAGGAAATATGACACATCACTAAAGAACAATGATGAAACTGTGAGATGCCTCATGGCGTGGATGGATTTGGAGGATGCAATGTGGAGTGAATTGCCGTGCTGGTGAAGAATATTGAAAGCACCATGGACTGCCAAAAGCACAAGCAAGCCTGTCTTGAAAGAATTCCAACCAGACTGCTCCTTAGAAGCGAGCGATAGCAATATTTCATCTCCCACATTTTGGACATGTTATCAAGAGACCAGTCCCTGGAGAAGAGCATCATGCTTGATAAAGCAGGAGGTCAATGAACAAGAGGAAGAGCCTCCGCAAGTTGATTGACACAGTGGCTGCAACACTGGTCTCAAACATAACAACTGTGAGGGTGGCACGGGACCAGGCAGTGTTTCATTCGGTTGTCCAGAGGGTTACCATGAGTCAGAATTTACTACCACCTAACAACAACATGCTTCATGAAGGCAGTCCATCACAGAAGGAAAAAGACTGTACGAGAACACCGCTATCATAAAATTTTGAGATCAAGGTATGATAGTTAGGTTTATTGTGCCAACTAGGCCAATAGGAACATGTGGGCGGAGTTTAATCAGGTCACAGCTTGATTGGAGGGCAACGGAGATAAATGAAGATGGCCGGCATCCCATATCTTTCTTGCTCCCTGGTGAACAGACCAGCGTGCTGCTGCTGTAGCTAGTTCTCTGCCTCCACCGGTAAGCTACACTACCTGTGGGCCAAGCCACCCTGTGGATTGTGTCGCTAGAGCTTGAGTTTTCTTAGAGACTTGCTTTGCCATGCTGCTGGTGCATACATCGCTTGAGCTTGAGGCTGGTGGATCCTGTGATTGTGCAATGCTTAAGTTCAAGATCCCATCCGGGCCTGCTTAAGTTCTCATGCTACTGACAGTTGCTGACCCACTCTGCTGTCTGCGGGCAAACTGTCTGCCTAGCCTGAGGGAAGACACCCCTGTCTGCTTTCTGGACCTTGGACCTGGCAGCCCACGTGAGTTGAAGGACTTCCAGGATATTAACTGTTCCACGAAAGTGAGTTGAACTGAGCCCTCTGTACTGCTGTGTGGACTAATTAGCTGTTATATTTCTTCTTGCTGTATAAACTGACATATCGATATCATATCGATATAGATATAATCATAAGTGTCCTGGTTTTGCTTCTCTATAGCACCTGGCCTAACAAGGTAAAGGTTTTAATACCAAGAGAAATAGGCTTTGGTGATTCCCAAGGGTAGGCAGGGAAGAGAAAGAAGAGGAAGGAATAGAATATATGGTGGACAGATGTTAACTTAGGTGAAGGAGAAGGTAATGTTAGACCACCAGGAGAAAGTGGGGTGGGGGTAGAGAGGGCCAGCCACTGTGTGGTATGGTAAGGTGTTTAAGTTTTGAATGATTATCTAATAGGTAAACTCCCACCTCACTCACAATAAAAAGTTAAAAAATATTTTTCATTCTTCAATTGCATCGCATTAAAACAGTAGTTTGGGCATCCTTGAGGGAGTCCAATCATATCCATTTTCAATGTTCTTTGAAAACTCAAAGAACAAACTTGTTGTTTGTTTTCAGCAAACAGAGAGAAATGTAATGGGGAAAGTCAGGGCTGAAGGGTGGATAGGTTAAGATTACATTTGCTTCAACGTTGCTTTAAAACTTTGGTGGAAGGTTCTTTGAGATACTTGGTCTTCGTGCGTGCACACTGTTGGCATCCATTGAGGCGAAAGCTGGCTGAGGCCATGATGTTGGCTTCCAATATAACATGCCAGACCATGCCAGATGCCGATTCCATAAGTGTTGCATCAACGGTAATTGTAGTCATTTCTGGACTTCAGACAGAGCGTTGTCATTCACCACCCTCGATGGCCTTCCCTCTCTGGGCTCATCGCTGAGTGCTGCCTAACTTTCCTTAAATCCCTTCATCCGAAACCTGCTGTTTTAGGTGGAGTTCATTCCCATAAGCTTCCTGCCAAACTTCAGTGATTTGGGAAAATGGTTTATGGAACGACATCTAAGATTATCCCCAACCTCAAAAATCACTTCTTACCACAACACAAAAGTTGTATTTATATATATCTATTAGGGTCACTAACATACGGCTTACTGACAGAATTGTCTACACTCGAACACTGATCACAGAGACAGGGTTAAACACACTGTATGTGGAATAAACCTAGGCACGTGTGAACCGGAACACTGGGAGCAGTACTTTTTACTTACTGTGTTCGTGGATAGGAAAGTTCATTATCACACAGGTGAATTTGATTTAGTTGTATTAAAAGTCACAAGGGTTTTTTTCCCTTCCCCCCCACCATTTGAATGGTGACTCCTAAATTTGGAAGAGGAAAGGATCAACATCTGCAAAGATGTGCCTGATTCAGTGCAGCAAAATACATCACTAATCCGATATCAAGATTTTTTCCTAAACTGTAGTTACTAAAACATAGTTGCATTAGTCCAGAGAGAAGAAGGTAAGAACCCAGACACATGACATCACTGTGTGTCATAAGTTGCGAAGCAGATCAGGAAAAGAGGTGATTGACAGTAATGGTGTGTTAGTCTGGGTTGAACAGAGAAACAAATTCGTAGGCACTCATATGTGTGTAAGAGAGAACCTTATATCAAAGTGCAATAATGCATTAAGAAAACATTCCAGCCCAGTCAAGATCAACTCCATAGGTCTGATATTACCCCATAGGTCGATACTATTCCAAAAATTCCTCTTTAGACTCACACAGCCATGCAATCATGCTGAATGAAGGAAGCTCACAGGCCAGTGGGCGGAAAGTCATGTGGATCCAGTGGCAGTGGAAGCATCTCAGTGCTGGCGTGGGTCTCCATGTGGCTCCTCCAGCTCCAGGGCTCTGGCTCCATCAGTGCAGCTCCACGTGGCTTGTCAGGAGGAATGTCTTGCTGACAGTGAGAGTATCTGGCCTGCAGTGAGCTAGTTATCTCCAAATGACCTCCAAATGAGGTCATCAAGCTGCAACCTGATTGACAGGCTAAACTCCACCCCTTCGTAAGTTGACAGGCGATGATGTAACCATGGAGAGAAGAAGGTGGACTCCTCTCTCAGGCTAGACACAAAAAGACATGGAAAGATGACATTCTCTCAGGATAGGAGGTAGACAAACAGGTGCCGAGGAATATGCTTTATTAACAGTATACTTATTTATCAGATACAGTATTGCATGAGAAAACTTCAAGAAGGATTACAGAGTTTTCTTATAGAAACAACACAGGATCTACTGCTGACAAGATCACTCTGAGCCCTTCACTGGACAAGGCATCCTGGACACCAGGGTTACTGGTTCACATAGTCTGACTGATCCACCCTCCCTCAGGGGCCCTCTGGGGTCTGTTCACCCAGAGGACAGCACCGAGCATGCTCAGGAACAGGGGCACCTTCAGGAAGACCAGGAGCAGGAAGTGGACACTGCTGAACAGGGACCTGCGAGGACACAGGGACAGACAGTGAGCTGCCCCCCGGGAAGAGACCCTAAGTCTCCTCTTCACCGTTCCATGAGCCCAGATCCTGTGTCTACAATAATCCTTATCAGACCAAACCTCAGAGGCTCCAAGGAGACAGCCCAGTTGAAGGACTGTTGTCTTTAACGTAGGACTGGAGACATAAGCAAGGGGCTGGCTGTAGTGAGGATGTTTGTCACCTTGCCCCACTGCCTAGCAAGCCCCTCCACACAGTAGGGCCTGAAAAGCTGTGTATGGGTTTAATGAATAAATGAAAGATCCCAGAGAAGTGAACTGTGCTCCATCCCTGGAGGGAAAGCCATCCAGGTGGCACCCAGGTGACAAATGCTCATTGATGGACCCTTACCTTGGGTGTTGCCTGGGATCATGGGTCTGCAGTGGGCCTGGCAGTACCTGTCAGGGACATGGCTGACCCAGGGGTCCTTGTGGAGCTCATGTGGCTGGAGTCTGCAGTGGGGGCTGAGGACAAAGGGCAGATCGGGACTAGATGCTAGTCCTGCTTCCTACTTACCTGGGTGGCTCACTCACAGGTGAGGTCACTCAAGGGGTGACCATTTCAGGGTGCTCTGTGTCCTGGTGCCCTAAACATGAGGATCGGAGGGCCCATGGATGCTTGCTCCCAGGTGGTGCTCCAGCCCCACAGTCTCATCTTGCCTCTACCTTGTCCACTCTGGTGGAGAGTCCAGATGGCATTCACTCTTCACCCCGGAGGTCGACCCGGAGCACTGGGGACTCAGGACATCCCACCAGGCTGCTGTTGGGAGTGAGCCATCCAACTAAACCAGTGATAGACAGACTGTACTCTTGCGGGGGCTCTCAGTCCCCCAACCTCAGCCAGGCAGCTATGGTGGGAGTGACTGACCAGAAGGGACGTTCAGTGATGAGGACACAGAGAAAGGAGCGCTGGTGAAGCTCAGAGACAGGAGGTCCTTTTCTTCCCCACAGTGATCTCAGGGGACTTATGCTTCTACACACACACGCATATGTATACACACCTAACTAGATACACACATACACATACACGTACCGTACAGACATACAGAGTCACACATACATATACACACATGTACGTACACAAATACACACAGACACACAGACACACCTAAACATGTACACACATACACACACATGCATGCATACACATACCATACAGACCTACAGAGTCACACATACATATACACACATATACATAGACAAATACACACACATGCACACCTAACCATGTATACACATGCACGCATACACATACCATACAGACATACACAGTCATACATACACACACATATATGTACACATATACACAGAGACACATAACACACACATGCACACCTAACCATGTACACACATGCACGCATACACATACCGTGCAGACATACACAGTCACACATACATACACACACATATACGTACACAAATACACACAGACACATATACACACCTAAACATATACACATACACACGCATACACACACACACACACACACACACACACACACACACGGCCTGCGTGAGAATCCGAAGCCCGAGCAGCAGGGGTGGTGGCAGGGCAGGCAAACGCTACCAACCACCAGGTTCTCAGCTAGCCAAGGTCTGCGTGGGGTTTAGGAAAGCAGAACCGGCTCCCGTTCCAAAAAGGAGGAGTTGAGAACCAGGCGGAACATTTGGGATAAGGAGCCTGAGACCTTTGGCCTCCTCTCCTTCCCTGCGGCCTGGGGAGCGGAATCCAGGGCCCCTCTGGGTTCCCTCTTGTGGGCAAAAGCAGTCAGAGAAGGAGGGGGCAAGACCGGACCAGTGTCCGAGAAGTCAATGAGTCCGTGGGACCCTCGTCAGAGGCACAGGGAGGTCCACACGGGACTCAGAGGCCTCTTCTGGTACCTTCCACGTGGCTACTGCAGAAGCTTCCAGAACAATGACCCTGGAGCTGGTGCCTCCGGTACCTCTCAGGTACTTCCAAAACAAGGTGGGATTTGGGGCTTGGTGGAGCCAGCCCATGAGCACGGCTTGTCTGAGAACTGGGAGTGTGTGGGAAGGGCTAGGGGGCATGGGACCCTCTCAGGACCCCAGGGCCCAGCGCTAAGGGCAGATGGTGTAGTGGGCACAACCCTGGTCAGGATAAGACCCTCCCCACCTGCTTCCTGCACAAGAGCTCCCCAGGGTTGTGGGACACGGGAAATCCTGAGAACAAGCTGACACACATGCACATGTACAGGGCTACATACAGTACGTCTCACGTCACTGACACTCCCCCACCCCCCACCCCGTCCCCTCAAAAACTCTTCAGTTCAACCCTCTGCCCAAGCGTTTCCTCAAGACCAACGAGCAACAGACTCAGGCAGTGCTGGGGCTGTGGGGGAGGGAATCACCTGGAAACACAGACACCACCACCTGGAAGTTGGGATCCACTTGTCCTGTGTTTAAAAGAGTGACATCAATCCCACACCACTATGCGCCTTGGTCGTCCTGGTGAGGTTTCTCAGGGTCACTGTGAAGTTGAGCTGGGCGGGCTCGTCCCTGATGGACACTTGGTCCTTCCTCACCTCGGTTGTTGACTCTCCAGTCTCCATAAACTCCTTACGTATTTCTCCAGCTTATCCTCTGCACCGATATTTATTATTTTTAGTGAATTCCTCCTCACACGGACACTGCACACTCACAGTCCTGGGACCCATCAGCACCAGGGAGCCTGGAGAACACAAGCCAAGTCCCGACTCCTCACCTGGACGGGCTGGGTCAGCCGCGCCCCGGGGTCAGTATGCAGGCCCCTCATCATCTGGGGGGACAAGGTAGCAGACAAGGACATAGTCCTGGGGGTGAGGAGTTCCCTCATGTCAGACGTGGGAAGGGGTGCTGAGGGTGCCCAAGGAAGAGCCCAGAGCAGGTCAACACCAGAGGGTGTGTGCATGTCTGTGTGAGTGTGGAAGAAACAGACTGACAGACAGAGAAATTATACCAAGACACTATTTCTGATGTAATAACTCTGTGTATGTGTGTGTGTGTGTGTGTGTGTGTGAGAGAGAGAGAGAGAGAGAGAGAGAGAGAGAGAGCCCAGAGCAGGTCAGCATCAGCGTGTGTGTCTGTATGTCTTCAGCGATAGTATCGGGAAGATGAGCATGTCCATCTGCTACCTTAATACTAAACCTATGCATAGATGCACATAGATATATTTTCACATCTTCATATATAAATATATTTGATATGTACATGCCTTTATTTAGACCTCTATAAATGCCTTTTGCCTCCCAGCTCTTTCCTCTGTTTCCTTTTACTTTCCTCTTGTCCCACTAGCATGTTCAGCCTTCATTTGGGTTTCAGTAATTCTTCTCGGTTACATTGCCCTTGATCAAGCCCTCCCAGGCCTCCTACACCCTCCTCACCATCGATTTGGATCACTTGTTGTTCCCTTGTCCCTGGGTTTGTTAACACCACTACCCTCCCCTCCCCCCCACCTCCCCCTCTCCCATGTCCCTGCCGGAACTGTCGGTCCCGTTGCTTTCTCCTCCAGATTGTTCATCCAGCCTATCTTATTTAGACAGACCTACGGAGATAATAACATGCACAAAAACAAGACAGAGCAAAACCAAGCAACAAAATAAAACAAAACAACAACAAGCCAAAGACCTAAAAAACAAAACAAAACACAACAAGAAAGAAAAGCTTGTAGTTAGTTCAAGGACTGTCTGTTGGTCTTTAGGAGTATTTTCCAGTCAAGTCTGATGGGGCGCCAAGCCCTGGCCCCAAAGTCTATTTTTTGTATTCCCTGGGGACTTCGTTGTTCTGTTCCCCTTGCTGTTCTGTTGCACGCCCTTAGTGTTGTGCCTCCATGTGGTGGGATCAGATCGGGGACAATTCCCACCCTGTGTCTCCAGTGTTGTCCCCTAAGGGCTATGGGTCAGTGAGGGATATCATGTCTCATAGTGGGGCCGGCCATATTGTCTTCTCTGTGGATTGGCTGCTCTAAGCAGGAATATCATCCTCAAGGCTTGGTTAGCCAGGATGTGCTCCACTCTCTCTTCCTCCCCCTTCATTTGTTCCCATGTGCTCTGATCAGCCATCTCCCGGAGCTGCAGATTCAGTGCTGTCCTCTGAAATAAATTCTTCTGGGGAGAGGAGCAGATGGCCACGTAGTTGGGATTGGGGTTGGCCCCTCAGACCTCTCCACTGGTTCCCTACTCCATGCCAGCATGTTGCTTTCACATCTTGGAGCACTGGATTGAAGTCTGGTCCCTCTTTCCCTGTGGAGATAAAAACAATACCTTCCCCTTGGGTGGGTTAGTGCCCTTTTCCCCCACTACACGTTTCTTTTTTCTTTTTTTTTTCCCTCTGCCCCCCACCCCCACCCTTTTTAGTTGGCTACCATATGTATCCCTGGATTTGGTCTAGCCCCTGCCATACTACCTGGTCCTCACCCCAGGAATGTTTGTATACAGCAGCTTTTTCCCTCTGCCCCTTCTCTTTTGTTTTTTTAAAGCTTACCTCAGCAGACTCATGTTGTACTTGTCCTTTTGTGCTTAGCTTACTTCTCTTAGCATGATTTCCTCCAGTTCTTCCCATGCAGTGGTAAGCTTCATACGTTCATCATGGCTTTTCAGCGATGCGTAGTACTCCATTGTATGTATGTACCACAGTTTTTCAATCCACTTGTCAGTTGATGGAAATTTGGGCTGTTTCCAACTCTTTGCAATTGTGCACTGTGCTGGAATGAACATGGAGCACAGATGCCTGGCCATGGTTTGTTTCTTGCCTCTTCTGGGTATATGCCCAGTAGGGGGATTGCTGGGTCTTATGGTAGCTCAATTTCCATCTGTTTTAAATATCACCAGATTGATTTCCATAGTGGCTGTACATACTTACAGGTCCACCAGCAGTGGATGAGAGTTCCTGGCTCCCCACAGGCCCTCTAACACTTGTTGCTTTCTGATTTTTTTAATTGGGCTATCTTTGAGGGTGTTAGGTGGTACCTCATTGTTGTTTTAATTTGCATCTCTCTTATGTCTAAAGATGGGGAACATTTCCGCATACGTTTATTGGCCATTCGGATTTCTGCACCTGTGAAACTTCTGTTCAGGTCCTTTGCCCACATCCTCAGTGGGAATTTTTTTTTCTTTTTGGAAGCTAGCAGTGTATTATAGATTTTAGTAATAAGGCCTTTGTCTGATGTGTCATTGCTAAAGATGTTTTCCCAGTCCGTGGACTCTCTTATTGCTCTCTTGGTTAATTCTTTCAATGTACACAGGTGTTTTATCTTCAGTATATCCCATTTGTCAATTTGTGCCTCCTCTGTGTTTGTGTCCTTCCCTATTTCTGATAGCCTATGTATTCCCTGTGCCAGAGTTCTTAAGTTGGTCCCAATTCCCTCATTGATGGCCTTAACAGTTTGGGGGTTAACTTCAAGGTCTGTGATCCACCTTGAGTTTATTCTTGGGCATGGAGTGAGGTAAGGGTCTTGCTTCCTTTCTCTGCAGGTAGATATCCATTTTTTCCAGCATCAACTACTAAAGAGGGCATCTGCTTCCCATTGGATATTTTTGGGGCCCTTATCAAAGATCAGTTGTCTGTATACTGATGATTTTATTTCAGGGTTTTCAGTTCTTTTCCATTGGTCTGAGTATCTGTCATTGTACCAATACCATGCAGTTTTGACAACTGTGGCTGTATAGTATGTGCTAAAGTCAGGTAAAGCAAGCCCTCCCACTGTGTCCTTCTTCGTGAGAATTTCTCTGCTAATTCAGGGCTTCATCCCTCTCCATATGAAGTTGGTAATCCGTTTTTCCATTTCTTTGAAGAAAGATGAGGGTAATTGTATCGGGATTGCATTAAATTTATATAGTGCCTTGGGCAGAACTGACATCTTGACTATATTGAGTCTTCCAATGCACGAGCATGGGATACTTGTTGAGGTCACTCTGGATTTCTTGTAATAGTGTTCTGTACTTTTCCTCATATAGATATTTTATTCTTTTAGTCAGGTATATCTCTAGATATTTTAATTTGTGCTTGGCTATTGTGAAGGGAACCACCTTTTTTATCTCCTCTTCTGTGGTCTTATCAGATGCATATAGCAGTCCGATGGACTTCTGTTTGTTGATCTTGTATCCTGCCACTCTGCCAAACTGCTCTATTGCTTCCAGTACTCCCCTTGTGAGGCTTTTGGGATTTTCCATATATAAAATCATATCATCTGCAAATAACGATAGTTTCACCTCCTTCTTGTCCCAATGAATACCTTTGATGTCTTTTTCTTTGTCTTATGCTGTTAGCTAAAACCTCCAGCACGATATTAAATAAGACTGGGGACAAGGGGCATCCTTGTCTGGTCCCCTTTTTCAGTGGGATTGTGTTAGTCTTTTATCCATTGACTACACGTTGGCTGTTGGTTTTTCATATATAGCTTGTATTGTCTTAAGGAACTGTCCTTCCATTCCTATTTTCTCAAGTGTCTTAAACAGGAATTGGTGTTGGATGCTGTCGAATGATTTTTCTGCATCTATCGATATTACCATGTGGTTCTTATAGTTTTTCATGTCAATGTGGCGATTGATACTAATGGTCTTTCGTATGTTGAACCATCCCTGCATCCCTGGTATGAATCCCACTTGGCCATGGTGAATTATTTGGTTTATATATTTTTGTATTCTGTTGGCTAGTATTTTGTTAAGGATTTTTGCATCAATGTTCATTAGGGATATTGGTCTGTAGTTCTAGATACTTGAGGGATCCTTGCCTGGTTTTGGTATCAGAGTTATACTAGCTTCACAGAAAGAGTTTGGGGGGTTGCCGTCTTTTTCTATGTTCTGGAAGAGATTGTGTAGGATTGGTGTTAGTTCTTCCCTAAATGCTTGGTAGAATTCTCCAGTGAAGCCATCTGGTCCAGGGGAATTTTTTTTGGTTGATAATCCCTTGATAACCTTGTCTATTTCTTCTATTGCAATGGGTCTGTTGAGATTCTTGACGTCCATCAAGGATAGTCTAGGGAGGGATTGCTTTTCCAACAATTTGTCAATGTCTTCCGAGTTGTTGAATTCATTGAAGTACAATCCTTCGTAATACTGTGTAATTATCCTTTTGATTTCATTAGGGTCTGTTGTAATGTCCCCTCTTTCATCCCTCATTCTTGCTTTTGAAATTTGTTCCCTCCTTTCTTTGGTGTGGTTTGCCAACAGTCTGTTGATTCTGTCTATCCTTTCAAAGAACCAACTTTTATCAGCATTAATTTTTTCCATAGTTTTCTTATTTTCCCTCCCTTGAATCTCAGCCCTGATTTTTATAATTTCATTTCTTTTGCTATTAGTAGGATTGTCCTACTGACTCTGCTCTAGTTGTTGTAAATTTTGTGCCAGCATTTCAATCATGAGTCTCTCTTCCTTTTTCAGGTGTGCATGTATTGCTATGAAACTTCCTCTGATAACTGCCTTTGCTGTGTCCCATAAGTTTTGATACGTCGTGTTCTCATGCTCATTGGTTTCTAGAAATTTCCTAATTTCATCTCTGATCTGTGCCAGTATGCACTCCTTTTGCAGTAGAGAGTTATTCATCCTCCAATTGTTTGCTCTTGTTTTCTTCATCTTCCTTTTGTTGACTTCCAGCCTTATGGCACAGTGGTCAGAGAGAGATATCAATGTGCTTAAATTTATGTAGATTCACCTTATCCCCCAGCACGTGGTCTATCTTTGAATATGTTCCATGCAGGCTTGAAAAGAATGTGATTTTTTTGTATTTGGATTAAAAGCTCTGTAAATATCTATCAGGTCAAATTGTCTAATTGTAGTATTT